GTTCCTGACGCCGAATTGTAAGGAAGATCGGCCCAACAGACTTCCAAGTGGTTGAAATCCTCTTGCATTAAACACTTATTCGCGGACTGATTGCAAATAAAGTCAATTATCAGCCTGGAGGAACTTCCAGGACTCTTGTATACCACTGCAACTGGAAACTGGGTCGAGGAAGTGCGCATAACAGCCGATAGGGTTTCAACAGTCTGCTCCGACGACTGGAATGTGCAGGTCATTAACACTTCTTATTCACAGCTCACATAAAGTACAACACCTCCGCCTTGACGACCAACGGAGCGATCAGTTCTAAGCAGTGTGTAGCCAGGTAAACATACCGTCCGTGACATCGGAGACAACCACGTTTCATTGAAGGCAAGAATGTCGGGACGAGATTTGACTACGAGCAGACCCAACTCGTGCACTTTGTTCCTAAGGCTACGCACATTGCTAAGTACTACCTCAAGGAAGTCGGCACGACCAACCCTGGGTCGTGCGCCATCAAGATTGACTACGATAAGACGGAAAATAACTTCCGGCTGACTACCCGAAAACCCACCAAGCGGACGCTTTGCTCATTAGCTGCCTGCCTATTTATAAGGTCTTTGTTAGCTCCCTTCAACTTCAATCTACTTCAGTGAAAGCACTAGCTGAATGCTGATACCACTACCTTTAAGCTTGAATGCAAACCGCAGTAATGATTTGCGTTCTTTCGGGGTAGAAAGAACCACGCGAAGTAATCGGGGTTGCAGATTTGCCCTACCGATAGGGCCGTTCTCTAATCTGGTCAGCTTTCTGACTTTGACACCAGGGAAGTCAGGTTGATGCAGCTTGGTGACGCACAGTTTGAGCCACTTGATATGATCCAAAATGCGTTCACTGGGGAGAGCAGCATCAGATTCCGCGACGTTACTGAATATAACGCTGCTATCCGTGAAAGAGTCGCCACGACGTGTTGTTTACCCCACGTGCCTTGGATTCGACATTTACACCAGGTGTCCTCACCACTGGCGATGGGACTGTCCCTATCTCTTCAAACGACGTCGAAGCAACGGTAGCGTAGGTTTTTCCCACTATTGCTGGCGTCTTACCATTTCCTTGGTCTCCGAGCCCTGCCGAAATTTTACGGGCAGTTCCAGTTCGTTTCTTCTTTGGACTGACGGGTGCAGAAACCTTTGTCCTTGTGTCGTATTGTGCAGTGACCGATAGGTCGTCAGAACGGTTTCGGTTGATGTCGGGACGTTAGCATCTCCGACAGATAAGTAGTGCGCCTCGGAATGTTCTCCTGTGCACAACCGTCCGACGACTTTATGACTGATAAAAGCCATCTTTCTCGATGCCGTGACTACTAAGTCTCTGGGTTTAACAGGGGGTTTATGGCATTTCCGTACCCTACTTTGCTTCAATCTGGTAAGCTCATGAGGAGTCAACAATGCTATCTGGAGTGTCTGGCAGGATATGCGACTTCTTGACCGAGTGACAGACACCAGTGGATGGATCGTCAGCAGTGGTGCAGTCTACTGCAGTGTCCTCAATTGCAACCCTCAGGGATTTCAAGATCAACTCTACTTTGGTATTGAGCGAGGCGAGTTTATCTACCGCCTTCTCAACATCTACGAACCTTGACGCTAGTGCTGTAAGTTTAGCGCCGATGATAGCCGCGCGCGTCATTCTCTGAGCGCAGCATTCATCACAGCTGAAAAGGAAGTTTACACTGGATGATAGCATCTTGTATTGGTCCGCTTGTATGCCGGTACAAATTTCGTGATACCAGCGACAGCAAACGTCACACTGCATACCTCTAGGCTGGTGCTGCTTGAGCTGTTGTTGAATTAACACTTCTGCATATTCCCATTTTCTCCCCAAGTATGTATATTGATATTATCATCTTGGTATCCGCAGTGGTAGTGTAAATGCTGAAAATAAACGCGTTAAGGTTCATAAAGGTTATTTTTACTTGATTTGACTTGCGAAAAACCTGTGGCTGGCTCTGAGCAAGTAGACTGTCCGCAAGATGCATTAGACTCATTCAACGAAGACCCCAGGCGTGCATCCGCCACGGTGTTTAGCGAGACAGCCAAGTTCATGTGGAAAACAAAGCGGAACTATGATACCTATACAATGGTAAAATGACCGCAATAAAAAAGGCGAACACGGGATTAAAACTGCGCACAACCGGAAAAATTACCAGTAAGCACCAAAGAGGCTTTGTCCAGCACGACTTCAATCGATCCAAGACAATAGTCAAATTTCGTTTCAAGCGTTTATTCAAACACATTTCCACAATATTTCAGCTAAAATGCTCGATTAGTTTGGCACGCCAAAAAGGAAAGTGAAAAACAACCATATGTAGAGAACAACCGAAAACAGTGAACCTACCGAGCAAAATCTTGTCCTTCCGGATCATTCACAAATGGTTTAATGCAAGTTAGAGTGTCACTGTCTTTGGTTTTCCCAGAAAAACGGTTGGGGGTTGATGCACTTTTGTTCCCTGAATGTGCACATGACCCGTGTGTTAAATAAGGTAGTATAACGCGACTAGCACATTGTCGACACGATATTTAAGTAGGTACTGGTATGGAAGCTTATATGTAGCAAACACGTATCTGGAAAAAATTCAGTATACAATACAGCCGGCTGTATTGTTCTACCAGTTTCAGACGGCGGCTTCTCAATCTGTTGTTTTGGCTAATCTTTAGCAGCTGATAGCACGAGTGATTACAGTTGCTTAAAATTTGTTAACCCATGATACGATCCCCGCCTAAACACCGATAGCGTCAAATAAAAACTGCAAAAATTCTCAGACGCCGTTCGTAGGTAGTATAGCCCTTGAGTGTTTTCGGTGGCTCGACGTTGCGGAATTTCCAAGACAGTAAGATTCCGCTTCAGCCATGGCTGCCATACTTGAATCACATAGTTCACCTGAGGGCGTATGTATGCACAAGGCAGCTGGAGAGGAATAAATGGGTCAAAGTGACCAAAAGCACTCTTTAACAGTCCCAAGTTTTGATGCCCATTTTTAATGCTAGTTAAGGTTGCTTCGAGCAGGACTTCCTAGAACGAGGAGTTCTGGAGCTCCTGACCGCCTAGCCTATGGTGGTGAACCATTTCGGGAGGTAGATTAATTACTCGAGATGTAACCAGATTGAACTGATGACAATTGTG